TGGCCCACACTGCCCCACACTGCCCCACACTGGCCCACAGCAGTATGAGTGGTGTTTCTCAGCTACAGAGCATTACTCATTAACTGGTCTATAGCATTATATTTTATTTATTATATTTAGATTTTATGATGTGGTAAAACAGTTAAAAAAAATAGTTCTGAGCAACACTGAGATACGATTGTCGATATTCGTATGAAGCGATTACCTCAAACACGATTCAGAAAAGGCTTAAATAGTTCTATTTTTAACATTCAAAATCTAAGTTTCACTGCAAGAATGTAAAATATTTATGAATACTTAGATTAAGTTGATCTTCATTTAAGTTTTGACAGTTTTTATAGAATATGAAAAATGTTAGTGTTACCACCTGCCCATTGTAGAACAGTTGTTTAGCACAAATGTGGTTATCGTTTGTCCTTCACAGCAGAAGGTCCTGGGATCGATTCTATGTCGAGTTTGCATATTCTCCCTGTGTCTGCCTAGGTTTCCTCCAGGTGCCGACCCCGCTTCCATCGCTGTGTCTAGAGTGAGAGACTCATGGCCACAACAACGGTCGGCGTTTGTTGAAGGCGCTAAATAAATAAAGGTTTACTTTCTAAAAAGAGGTTCATATGAAGCGATTACCTCAAACACATCTCAGAACATGTTTGAGTTCAGTGGGGGTGGGGCCCGGCTCCAAAAGCTGCATGAGCATGTGCACTGCACAGCTGCAATCTCCCCCCGGGCAGGTGGGGGTGTACCCGGAAAGAGAATTACCCAATGCTTTTGTATGGCGTCGTCTTTCTCTAATAAACGTCTTTACAGGATGGTCCAAAAGTCGGCTCTTGGCCCAACACTATGTTCCAAATGTGTGTCAATGCAATTTATTTTTGGACCACTCTAGTTTAGCCGCTGTGGACTTCAAAATGCAAAAATATCATACATCAGTCATTTTGCAGCAAATGTTTTCTTAAAGCTTGGGTACCTGACTAAACATGTATTTGTAATATAATCCCTTGGCTCTGAAAACAGTTGGAGGAAAAAGAGAGGACCACCCTCACTCAGCCAATCAGCTCTCAGTATGTAAAACACAGTTGTGGGAACAATCTACATTTTTATCATGGAACCCCCAAAAGTGATGTAGCTTTAAAATGTCAAATCCACTTCTGACAAACGCAGGATGTAAAGCAGATCAAAGCAAACACTTTTCTACAGTGAATTTATAAAATTATATTAAAAATAGACTTTAAACCTTGGACCCATGTTTTGGAGCAGAGTGGGAAATGCCTGGTAGGACGTTTGTGTAGGCCCGTCGTCAAGGCAACCATCTGCTGCTCCGTGGTCCTCAGCCCACACAAGAGAAAGAGAGATAGAAAAGGGGAAGAGGAGAGAGGGGTCTTCATCGTTCTACATGTTGCTCTTTCCCAACATAGAGCCTTCATTTCTCAGATTTACTCTTTAACTGGAGCTGCTCTGGTTCACTTATGGAAAAATGCTTTATTTGTGGATGTAAAAACACCACAAAAGTCACTTAAAGGGTATTTCACAACTTAAATTGTAGTTAATGATTAAAAGAATGAGAATGGGGCGCTGTACAAATGTTTCAATAGTAATGTATTTAACCAGTGGAAAATACCAGTGGGATATTCTGGAGAATAGTAACAAGGAAAATGTAATTGAGTTAATTCATTTCGACCAATCAGGAAGCTGTTCATGTCTGTAAAACATTTTTATTTTTTTATTTATTTATTTATTTAAAGGGACAATGCATATTAATGAACATGTAAATGTAAATATGCCAGAATTAGCCAATGGCTACTTTCCATCTGTAGTCCCTGGCAGATCAAGAAAATACAAAGACTAATATACGACATTTAAAAGACAAAAGATCATCACACAAATCATCCACACAATTAAACTGGAGACATAAAACAAAGATACTGGTCAGTGGTTACATGTCTGATTCCCCTTCAGCCAACCTTTAAGTTTAGTTTTAAATACTATGAATGTAGTACAGTCTCGAATTTCTGTTGGGATGCTGTTCCATACCGTGGTCCCTTTCACTGACAGCACCTGTTGACTAAACGCTGTGCGTCTATAAGGAACCACACAGTCACTTCTGGTGGTGGCTCTGGTCACTCTACCACTTGTACTGGATATGAACTTAATGAATTCATTCAAGGATGGTGGAGAGAGTCCATGCAAAATCTTATAAACTGAACAAGCCATTTTAAATGTTCTAAAATTTTCAAAGTTTAGAATATTATATTTTTCAAGTATTAAGCAATGATGAAATGAATATGGTTTTTTATCAAATATTTTTAAAGCTTTTTTATATAGAGACTCAATTGGTTTTAAAGTAGTCAGACTCGTCAGTGACCAGTTAGTAATGCAATATTCAATATGTGAAAAGATCATACAATGAAGAAACATTTTAGCTGCATTTTCTGGCAGTAATGTTCGGATTTGTCTAAAATTACGAAGATTAAAATTTACAATTTTACACATATGCTTAACATGATTTTTAAAAGATAACGTTGAGTCTAAGATAACACCAAGATATTTAAACTTGTCCACAATCTGTAGCTCCTCACCTTTTATAAATACATTTGAGCTTATTCTTGCTGTTGGGCGTTTGGAGAAAAACATACACACAGTTTTCTTTGAATTCAGTAAAAGACAAGACTTACTGAGCCACTCATCAATGCAGCACATTGCTGAAGTCAATTTTTCGGAGACTTCGGCATTAGATTTTGCATTGGTAAAAATGACTGCATCATCTGCATAAAGCTGGGTATGGAAATGTGGACAAATATTTGGTAAGTCATTAATATATAATGAAAACAGTATGGGTCCAAGTATGGAACCCTGTGGAACTCCAACCTGACAGTTTAGAAACGTAGATTTGATACCACTGACTGTCACACAATGAGTTCAAGTTGACAGGTATGACTTAATCCAAGTTACGGCTTGTTCTGAGAAATTAAACTTCGTTAGTCTAGATAATAAAATTTGGTGGTCAACTGTATCAAATGCTCGCTTTAAATCAAGAAAAACAGCTCCAACAACAGGACAATAATCTAAACCATGTTTCACTTTTTCTAAAAACAGATTTATCGCACTTTCTGTTGAGTATTTGGCACGAAAACCAAACTGCATGGGATGCAGAGGTGTATGACCCTTGTCTAAATGAGTTGTCAATTGTTTAGCAACCCATTTTTCAATAATTTTTGAAATAATGGGCAAAATGCTAATTGGCCGGTAATTATTTACATTATTCTTATTCCCTGACTTAAAGATTGGAGTAATTGTGGCAACTTTCCAAGCTGTTGGTACAATAGAATGTCTAATTGATATATTTATCATACGAGTGATTGGACACACTAAAATATCTTTATGAGCCTTTATAAAATTGGCATCTATCCCATAGACGTCCTTTGCTTTAGAGTTTTTCAAACCTTTTATAATTGATGCTACTTCAGTCTCATTAATTTCTGCTATTGTGAAAATAGGTAAGGACTCATTCACCGGATAGGTGACATTTTCATGTAATGTAAAAAGTTGCGAAATTTCAGAGACTGAGTCTTTAAAAAAGTTATTAAATTCCATTGCCACAGTGGCTGGATCTTTCACCAACTGGCTTTCAATTTGTAGTACTACTTCACTGTCTTTGTTGGCCCCTCTGCCAGTTATTTTATTTATGGTTTCCCAGACCTTTTTGCCATTACCATTGGCAGACTCAATAACTGACACATAGAAATTTGCTTTAGCTTTGCGCATTACTTGAATGACTTTGTTTCTAGCTGATGTGAATAGTTGCCTGTCTGAAATGAGTCCAGTTTTGAGAGATTTTTTAAGTAATATGTCCCTGGTCTTCATTAGTTTTCTGCATTTTTCACCAAGCCATGGTAGGTTTGATTTACTGGTTTGATTTTTCTTCAACCTTTTTGTGAAGGAAGCTATGACCTCACTGATTTTGGAGTGGAAAGTAGTACTACTTATTGAAACATCACCGCATGCAACAATTTCATTCCAATCCGTGTCCTTCATGGCTCTTTCTAGATTTTGTAATTGATTTTTTGGGATCACATTATAAAAAGAAGAGCCATGATCAGATGTACAGGATCTTTTAAAACGCATTTTAGTTAGTTTCCTTGTAAAAAATATTGCGTTATGGTCAGAAAGACCAGTTAAAAAATTATATGTTTTTATGATTCGTTCAGCTTTATTTGTAAATAGTAGATCTATTGTGGTTTTAGATTGATTGGTTACACGAGTTGGCATTTCAACTAATTGGACCAAATTAAAAAGGTCAGTTACCCGTTTTAAGTTTTTCCTCTCTTTCTTATTATCCCAGTTAATGTTAAAATCACCAATTAATATTATCTCTTTATTTGGACTGCAGGACTTCAGAAGCAGCTTCAACTGATCATAGAATTCTACATTAGTTGAGGGTTTTCGATAGATGCAAATAACCTGGAAACTCATTTCCTTAGAGAGTTCAATATTTACCCCAACGCACTCGAGTGCAATTTCCTCAGGCCATATAATCTGTGAACATTTAAGTCTATCTCTTACATAGATCATAACCCCCCCTCCTCTACCTTGATCCCTTTCCTTTCTAAATACATTGTATCCTGCCATAGTTATGGCTGCCTCAGGTGAAGAGGGTGTTAACCAAGTTTCTGTGAACCCAATAAAGTCAACATTTGATTGAATCAATAAATGTTCCATTTGTTCTCGTTTTGGTATTATGCTTCGAACATTCAAGTGTCCACCCAGTAGACCTCTGGGCTTAAAAAGTGGGTCCCAAATAGTCCTTGATTGATTCAGTGTCTGAAAGAATTTTTGTGTACAATGTCTCTTCAAAATTGGATTTCGTTTTTTAGAGAGATTTCCATATTGCAAATTAGCAGTTACACACTGCGAAGGCAATTTGGCCTGGCTACCTCTCATCTGGTCTTCTGTATTGCTGATTAAGGAATAAAAGTCTGTGATTAAATTTGTCTGACCTGATGAAGCCATCTCCTCCTTGGTGGTGGTTAATCTGGCAGGCGTTGAATGTACTCCAGATACAGGTGGAGGAGGCCCAGCCAGCAATGCCCAGGTAACAGATGAAGAGACCCAGGTAACAGTAGAAGAGGCCCAGCTAGCAGTGGAGGAGGCCCAGGTAACAGGGGAGGAGGCCCAGGAAGCAATAGAGGCCCAGGTAGCAGTGGAGGCCCAGGTAGCAGTGGAGGAGGCCCAAGTAACAGTGGACGTCCAGGTAGCAGTGGAGGAAGCCCAGCTAGTAATGGTGGGCATTCCATAAGCTCTGGGTGCAGCACAGTGAGTATTGGGTGTAGTCCAAGTAGCAGCTGTAATCCCTTTGTTGGTGCAAGAGATCCAGTTTGCTGATAATATAGTGGAGTTAGCCGTGTCTGTATAGCATCCATGTGGTCCAATGAATGAGGGCCAGGATTTATCTCAACATCACCCGCCAGGAGCAATATCATCATGAGATGTACAATACCCAAAAAAGGTTTAGATGATAGTCCATTTTTACCTGGAGGTGGTCTTGCATGGCCATCATCCAGTACTTTTGTGAAGAGAAAGTGGTGAGTCATCTTGGCAGGGCAGAGAACCTGATTTTTGTCCATTCTTCGGGGACATGTTAAGCACACCAACAGGTATAGAGATACAAGAACAAGTAACAGATAGGAAAATGACATTTGCCATGGTCTTTCTATGCTTTTAAAAAGCTTTTGTGGAGCACACACAGGAGCTGCCAGACTGTGTGACTGAACCACGGCGGCCATCTTCCATCTTCCATCTTTTAAAGTAAATGACGTTCACTTTAAAGCTGGGGTTCCTATTTTCCCCCAATTAATAACTCTAGTTTGTTCCACAGAGAGTAAGAGTTGTTATAGCTTTGCCTGGAATGTTCCTGTTCTGAACGTTTACAGTATGTTCAAATTTTAATGAATGTTGAATGTCTTTGTCTCATGAGTATTTTACATTTGTGCAATGAGAGTGTTTGGTTAAAGGTTTGTTGAAATAAGGATCTCTTCTAATCTTAATCTTAAAAACCCTTTCAGGTGTTGAGAGTCACATTGTGTATGTTGTCAATGAACAACATAGATAGATACACTGCAGTATGTTTTCTCTGACAGAGAAGCTCTGAGGTCATGAGGACTTTAAACACTGACACCATGTTCATACTGAGCTAATGAGGACTTTAAACACTGACACCATGTTCATTCTGAGCTAATGAGGACTTTAAACACTGACACCATGTTCATTCTGAGCTAATGAGGACTTTAAACACTGACACCATGTTCATACTGAGCTAATGAGGACTTTAAACACTGACACCATGTTCATTCTGAGCTAATGAGGACTTTAAACACTGACACCATGTTCATTCTGAGGTCATGAGGACTTTAAACACTGACACCATGTTCATTCTGAGGTCATGGGGACTTTAAACACTGACACCATGTTCATACTGAGGTCATGGGGACTTTAAACACTGACACCATGTTCATTCTGAGGTCATGGGGACTTTAAACACTGACACCATGTTCATTCTGAGGTCATGAGGTCTTTAAACACTGACACCATGTTCATTCTGAGGTCATGAGGACTTTAAACACTGACACCATGTTCATTCTGAGGTCATGAGGACTTTAAACACTGACACCATGTTCATTCTGAGGTCATGAGGACTTTAAACACTGACACCATGTTCATTCTGAGGTCATGAGGACTTTAAACACTGACACCATGTTCATTCTGAGGTCATGGGGACTTTAAACACTGACACCATGTTCATTCTGAGGTCATGAGGACTTTAAACACTGACATCATGTTCATTCTGAGGTCATGGGGACTTTAAACACTGACACCATGTTCATTCTGAGGTCATGAGGACTTTAAACACTGACATCATGTTCATTCTGAGGTCATGGGGATTTTAAACACTGACACCATGTTCATTCTGAGGTCATGGGGACTTTAAACACTGACACCATGTTCATTCTGAGGTCATGAGGACTTTAAACACTGACATCATGTTCATTCTGAGGTCATGAGGACTTTAAACACTGACACCATGTTCATACTGAGGTCATGAGGACTTTAAACACTGACACCATGTTCATTCTGAGGTCATGGGGACTTTAAACACTGACACCATGTTCATACTGAGGTCATGAGGACTTTAAACACTGACACCATGTTCATTCTGAGCTAATGAGGACTTTAAACACTGACATCATGTTCATTCTGAGGTCATGGGGACTTTAAACAATGACACGTTGTTCATTCTGAGGTCATGGGGACTTTAAACACTGACATCATGTTCATTCTGAGGTCATGAGGACTTTAAACACTGACACCATGTTCATACTGAGGTCATGAGGACTTTAAACACTGACACCATGTTCATTCTGAGGTCATGGGGACTTTAAACACTGACACCATGTTCATACTGAGGTCATGAGGACTTTAAACACTGACACCATGTTCATTCTGAGCTAATGAGGACTTTAAACACTGACATCATGTTCATTCTGAGGTCATGGGGACTTTAAACACTGACACCATGTTCATTCTGAGGTCATGAGGACTTTAAACACTGACATCATGTTCATTCTGAGGTCATGAGGACTTTAAACACTGACACCATGTTCATTCTGAGGTCATGGGGACTTTAAACACTGACACCATGTTCATTCTGAGCTAATGAGGACTTTAAACACTGACACCATGTTCATTCTGAGGTCATGAGGACTTTAAACACTGACACCATGTTCATTCTGAGGTCATGAGGACTTTAAACACTGACACCATGTTCATTCTGAGGTCATGAGGACTTTAAACACTGACACCATGTTCATTCTGAGGTGGATTTTTTCTCCCGTGACATTTTAAATTGTCTTTGCTCCGGCTCACCCACCTCCGTCACTCTCTGCATTTCATTTGCCTTTATTTATTGTGTGTGAATGGCTGGTGGTGGGAGGGGCCAATGGCACAGACTGGCTTCTGTCAGTGTGCCCCAGGGCAGCTGTGGCTACAGTAGTTTATCACCACTGTGTTTGGAGAGAATGAATAATGATGTGAAGAGACTTTGAGAGTCTAAAAAAGCTCTGTTTAAACTGTATATACAGTTTATACAACATACAAAAACTATGCATTCATTCATTTTGAGAAAAGCAAATAGTGAAAGATGATTTGATTCAGATTCAGATTCATTTTATTTGCCATTTGCAGTAACACTACATTGGAATACATTAGTAAAAGTTCCCAGTGTGCACAGGACAAGTACAGACATAAAACAACATTAAAAGACAAAAATAAAACAAATTTTAAAAACAGTAAACAAATGTCACTGTGAAGTTGACCAACTAAAACAGATCTATACAAGTGCAAAAACATTAAAGTGCTCTATTCAAACTGATAACAGCTCGTGGAAAAAAACTATTAGCATAACGAGATGTCCTGCATCTCAGAGAACAGTATCTTCTGCCAGAGGGAAGAAGCTGGAACAAGGCTTTTCCTGGGTGGCCAGAAGAGTCATTGATAATTCTCAGGGCACTGTTAAAAAGTCTGGATTGATAAAGAACCTCCAGAACAGGAAGCTCACAGCCCACGGTCCTCTTTGCAGAGCGGAGCACCTTGTTTAAAGCTCTCTTTTCTTTATCTGTGATGTTTCCAAACCACACAGACACAGAACCAACAAGTAAACTCTCAATGGTGCAGCCATAAAAGTTAAGCACAATCTTAGAGTTAGTGGTAAATTCTCTAAGTTTACGCAGAAAGTAGAGACGCTGACGAGCGTCTCTACTTTGAATGGTGGGAATGGTTTTCTCATGACTGTTAAAAATTAGAGATATCTTCAATATTTATATTATTCACAAATACAAATTCTGTTCCTGAATTTGGCTTCGGCTTGCAAGCACAATCCAACGACGCTCCTGATTGGCTCTTTGGTTGCTAGGCTGTTGCTGCCTATCATTTAGCTCGAGATTCCTACTCGGCTGTTTTAGTTATTTATAATTATTATAATAATAATAATAATAATAATATTAATAATAATAATAATAAGATGTATTTTGAGCAAATACGTGTACAAGAAACAAAAGTAGAATATCAAAATTGTGCATAAATAACCCTGGGTCACATTTACATAACATAACATTTCATAATACAAATTATAAATATTATAAACACAAGAGAAACACTTGCAGGAAAAGGAGTGGGAAGAAGAAAAAACCTCTGATCATTTTCTTCCACACGAGCAACAGTCAGTGCTCGGTTTGTCCTCCTTCTACAGTCTGACACTAACACCAAGTCTAAATAGTCTTTTTAAGTGAAAATAGAGGTTTTTGGATCTAAAAGTGAAATTGGGCTTTTCAAAGTTAATCAAATTAGAATAAATAAAGTATATATCATTCCTATTGTAGTTCCAAATGACGCTTATGCAAAAAGTGTGGAAAATGCCTCTGAATAAAACCTGCACCAGCAAAATGTTTTAGCAGCACTTTCCACCTCAAACCTTTTACTCAAGACCTCAGTCGAACGGTGAGTGTTTAGTGGCTGTGATCAGGAGCAGGTTTGTACCAGACCGTGCTGTGCTGTGCTGCTCCGAAAGGGTCCACAGTGTTTAAAATGTGGAAAAACGTGAGAAAAATCTGCTCCCTTTCTCATTGTGTACGTGGGGATACATTCTAATTACTTTGATTCAGAATGTATTTGCTGATGTTATAAACTAGCACTAATCTACAGAGCTATTCAGCGTTTCAGCGTTATGAAACAAATAATTCCATATTCAGTATTTCCACCATGATTGTTACCCCGGGCTTTTGAGGCCTAATTTCATGGACTACGGCCAGTGATCCCCATCTGAGGCTTGTGTCAAACGCTGAAGAGTTCTCCGGGAAAATAGGTTTAAGAAGAAGAAGGTCTTTTAATCGTCCACCAGGGAAGTTTCATTTTTGATGTTTTATAGATGCAGATGGGGCTTTCTTCACACCAGAAGCACATTCTCTGGTTTTCAGACGCAGAGGACTTCACCCAGAGTCCTGTCCTGACGCGAGCCGGAAGTACCGGAAGTAGCCGCCTCTGATGCTAACAGAGCTATGCTAACGGCTTCTTGTGTAAAGATCTTCTCCAATATGCAGCTTTGCAGCGTGTCTTTGCTCACAGACATTCCACGGCTTTATATAACAGCAGTATGTGTTCACGGAGGTGACTTTATATAACAGCAGTATGTGTTCACGGAGGTGACTTTATATAACAGCAGTATGTGTTCATGGTGACTTTATATAA